TACAGTTACATGAAAAGGAATTAATGAAACATATACTACTTGAATTGAGGGTCAAAGTCTCTTCCAAAATGTTGAGAAAACTCCCTATTTGCTCATCTTTGGCGCTGAGCGGAAATGTACTTTGCCCTGCATGTCAGCACAGAACCACCTAGCCGTTCTAATAAGGCAACACAGAACATCTGGTTGGCCTTCAACTCACTGGCCATGTTTTAGACATACTTTTATTATGATAAAATAATACTCATGTCAAAGTGCTTAAATATGGCAATAAATAAATAATTAATATTTTTATTTAGACTGAGCCTTGACATACATAAGATATCATCTTGTGAATTATGTGTTTTAAAAAATGTGTTGGCTGATATCCAGCCATAGGAATGAGTAAGATATTTATCACAGAGCCAGTAAGGGAAAAAAAAAGGAAAAGGAAGAAAGATTATAAACATAAAATAATCAAGAAGTAAGTAAACAAATCTCAAATATTATTTCCTCAAAAAAGTTCATTTCCGCTCTCTTGCTTTATGTCCTGATGCTGAGCACCGTGTTACTCGAGTTACTATGAGCTCATCTTCTGCTTCCTTCCCTGAGGACAGGGTGCAGATTATCAGTGCCTAAGGCACTGTCTACCAAAATTCAACAGTGATCTGCAGAGGGGGTACAGGTCGATGGACATGTTAGTCTAATAGATAGTGAAACTTCAGGTCAAGTTTATTTCATGGAATGAATATTAAAAAAGCAATTATTAGCAGATGTGTGAAAATTTCAGTTAAAGCAGAAATTCTTGGGCATGGATCAATGCTATCTTATTAAAGCCACAGAGAATGCAGGGCTTGGGAGGGCAGGGGCTGTCAGAGACCCGTGTTAAAGTTAAACTAGAATGTCTAAAGGACGTTCTCAAAAACAACGCTCCATGGTGACAGGATCGGAGATATGTGTTTTTACCAAACTAGGTTGAAATAATCATCAATATTAGTAGGAGATGTGTGTTTCTATGAACTCAATCATAGTTTATTGGCCTGGGTGTAAAAACTGACAATATTTAAACTCAAAGTGGGCTCAGAAGAGAATTGCTCACCTCTTACTACTTTGGGGGGCTTGTCTTTTATATTTTGGTGAAATTTTTGTTTGAGACTTCTATCTTCCAACAAGGGAAACAAAACACATCGGCAAAAATCTACTGCCTTGCTTTGGTTCTAGGATGAAGAAATTGTTTTTGTTTGCTTTTTTTTTTTGAAAGTTCACCAAAATGTAAGGCATCATAGTATCCACATACCATATACCAGCAATAAAAATGCACAGTTTTGCTTTTGAAAAATGTCAAAAACAAATAAATGTTGCAAAATATGATTTCTGCACGATTAACCATCTCAAAATACTTTCAGTGAAAATAGAGTGTTCAGACTCATGAATGGAGTGGTAAATCATTGTGAATGAGTTTCCTTTTCTTACCTAGATCTATCCTTTCTTTCACGATACCCCCTTTACTTGCTGTTAGACATTGCAATAAAAATATTGTACTTCTGCCTGCCTCTCGAACATTTATAATTATAAATGGCAAATAATCTTGGGAGGCCAAACACCCCATGTGAATGGCATCGAAGCAGAGGCAACAAGTAGTCAAATAGCCGGGGTGGCATTAGTTATTATTATTACACATTTCATAAGTTCTTCACAGTTTCCATCTAAGCTCTCTAGGGCTTATTGGCAATTCAGGTATACCACTGAAGGCCAACTCTGTAACCAGATACTGGTTTAGAAACAGCCTTATTTTTAAAATACTTATTACACTTGTATGTATTTACTTAGTTTGTATTTGTTTGTGTGAGTGGGTGTGCATAGGCACATGACACAGCACACATGTGGTAGCCACAGGACAAGTCGTGAGAGTCTCTTCTCAGCCTGGACCACGTGGGCCTAGGGTGGACCTCGGGTCAGCAGGTGGGATGGCGGGCACCACATTTAGATGGATCAATCTGACGGTCCGGGGCCTTTATTTTTTTTTTTTTTTTTGTGGAGGAAAGGGTTTATTTAGTTTACATTTCCACAGCACTGTTCAGCATGGAATTAAGTCAGGACAGGAACTCAATCAGGGCAGGAACCTGGAGGCAGGAGCTGCTGCAGCGGCTGTGGAGGAGTGCTGCCGGGGCCTTTATTTTTAACTAGGTTCTTATTTCATGCTTTTCTCTAAGTCCTCCAGGGGAAAAGCACTATAAAAAGCTCAGAGACCTAAAGGAAGATATATTTTGGGCACGCCATTTGCACACCTAGGTGCTCACATATGCCTACTTCCTGTCATGACTGCGCATGAGCGAAGGCCAGGATCTGAGGACTGAGCCTGCTATTTGCTCCAGTTGGAACGAATGGCATCAAGGTTCATCCATGATAGGAGAAAATGGCAAAAGTTTTGTGTTTGTCTCTTACTTATAATTATTCTAAGGAAATAGACAGAATGCACGTAAATGTATTATTAAGGAGAGACTTAGCAACTCTTTGGCATCTGAACCAGGGCACTAGCCCAATAAAAAGTAAATAACCTCATCACCTTGGCAGAAGGGTGACCAGCAGTGACTCACTTCCTGATGGTTCCCATGGAAACACTTCGGAATATAATACAGGTTCTGTATTTTCTTTAATAGGATTCTTCTTCATTTCCTTAGACAACCGAGGACAGCTCAAATATTTTCACAATCTAGAGAACATCCAGGGAGCGTATGCCACTCGACTAAACATATGGAATATATATTTGGAGAAAAGCCAACTGGAGACGTGCTCAAGTCACCCAAGCGCCCGAGCTGAGAGGAGCTAACACACAGAGGTCAGCAGGCGCTTTGAAGTTCTCTAGCCTTCATTCTACCTGATTAAGACAGGATTTACTAATCAAACCACTGGATAAACCTCTACCTCAGCGCAGAGGTTTGTTTCTAATTTGGGGGAGAATTCTTAACAGATTCCAGGGAGTCAGCCCCACATAGGAAGGGCTGCTGATAAGATTTGCTTGGCTTGTTGCTCTAATGCAAATGCCTGCTTTTCATCTTAGGTTGATCCTGAGATTGAGTTTAGCATCTGCCCGTCAAATCTCTAGCATGATCTCAAAGAGTAAAATGTGGCATTAGCATCCCATCTGAAACACCGAGTCAGAAAAAGTGAATTCTAAAATATTCTGAAGGTATTCATATAAAACATGAGTGGAGTGGGGGGGGAGGGGGAGAGGGGTAGGGGAGTGGGGGAGGGGGCGATGTGTGCAAGGACGGGGAGGGAAATGGGAAATGGGGAGGAGGCGGAAAAATTTTTTTTTTGCAACAACTAAAAAATAAATAAATAAATAAATAAATAAAACGTGATTCCAAAGGGGCATACTTGCCTGATTTATCAACAGATATATATATATATATATATATATATATATATATATATATATATATATTCATGCACTTTTATAAATGTGGAAATGTGTACCAACAGAGGCTTAGCAGTCCAATTGTGTAAGTTCACCTGCAAGTTTTATAAGCAAACCTAACTTTGAGTCAAAGCATAGGATTCCTACTCTTTCAGCCCATATACACTTCTTGTAATGGACGTGTTTTTATAATGATTATGGAGTTATTTTAAGTTGTTCTGGGGCACCACAAAACAAATCTCACTCTACCACTAAAGAGTAAGCCTGTGCAATCAAACCATGAACAATGCAGTGGGCAGAAAAGGAAGCTAATTACTTCAGGAAGAAACTGATTTAACAGAAATAAAGTTAGCAAACTTAGAGAAATGCTATAGCAAGCAAATAATTCAGAAAGAGTCTAAAGCAGTGGTTCTCAACCTTCCTAGTGTTGTGGGCCTTTAATACAGTTCCTCATGCTGTGCTCAGCTCCCAATCATAAGCTTATTTCGCTGCTACTTCATAACTGTAATTTTGCTGGTGTTATGAATTATCATGTGGTCTTAGATGACCCCTGTGAAAGGGTTGCTCAAGTCCCTAATGGGTCACGACCCACAGGTTGAGAACCACTGGTCTACAAGATCTCATGAAAGAAGGCTGGGAAGAGTTCAATTCTACCCCGATACCCCAACCCACTCACAGTAGACTGTCTTCACAAAGCAAGTGACTAGGCTGGACTGCTCAGAGCTCTTCAGTCCAAGCTCTTTTCATGACGCCCCCCCCCCCCTTGAGCAGAGGTGGGAGTGGGGAGGGAGTAGCGTGGGGTAGGGCTGGCACAAAGTGAAGCCCCCACTCTTCCTGCCATGAGCAAGAGGTGAAGGACAGTTACGCTATCTGCACCCACCAGGGCTCACCTTGTTGTGCTTGTGTCTGCGACAAAGCCTTTACTAGGCTGAGCTGTGCACCTGTTTCCCAGTACACAACAGTGCCGTTAGGACACACACGCATGTGACAGAGCACCAGGAGAGACGGATCATAGCCTACAAATCCACAGAACCTGCTATCCTGTGCTGTCAGATATGATTACGCTGCCATCACTGTTACTTTGTGGTTGGTTTAGTGATACAGGCCATCATTATTTCAGCCCAAATCAGGGGACTGGAAAGAAATTACCAGAAGTTTCAGCGATACTGTTTTAAATGATTTTTGGAATGAAGTAGGCCTACTGAAAAATTAACACAACCCGGACGGAAACATGTTTCCAAGAAACACCACGTTGTCTTGCACTGCCCTATCGGCCAACACCTGGGGTACCTTTCCAGCTTGTCCAACCTCACGTTTACCCTGCATCACAGGGAGGCTTCATCCACACAGGACTTACGTCCCTGTGAATGAAAACAAACACCCTCCTGATCGTAAATCAAATTGTTAACCCATGATCTCAGTCTTACTTCAACAGTCCTGTAGACAGAAAAATGGTGAAGACAGTGGTATTGGGGTCCTGTCCAACAACCCTGATGTCTGCGCGAGCATGGTGACTTTTGCCTTGTGTGTAATTCCCAACATCCCCCTCTCATTCCCAAATGATTGGAAACCTCTTAGTATTTAATGTCGGTTCATGGCTTACTTTGTTCATGTGGATCTGCTGCTGGTACTGCTTCTGCTTTTCCAGGAACTGCTGGTGTTGCTGCTGAATGACCAGCTGAGCCAGCGTGCTCTGAGGCAAAGGCGCAGACTGGGTTCGATTCAGGGGTCGGTGACGGGGCAGTTTGTGGGTACCTCTAATACCTGGTGAAATTCTTTCTTTCGTTGCCAAGGGAGACTGAGGGTGTAAGGGAACTCCACCTGAAAAACAAAATGTACGCGTGTGTGTGTGAGAGAGAGAAAGTGAGTGTGTTTACACATTGATATGTAAACAAAGATGCACCTTTAAAGAGAAGACAAGAAGCACCTGCCAGACAACTGAAGACTGGTAGGTTGGGTGCTAGAAGACATGAGTACCAAGACGTGACCAAGCTCATGTCTGTGCAGCAGGAGCCTCAGCCAGCAATGCAGCTTGTTAAATCCAAGGGTTCCCTCCCAGCTCCAGCCTACAGACCAGGAACATATAATGCTCATAGCTCCTCCCCCAGTGCCAAGTGTCTGAACTTGTACAGCAACGGAAATCCTTATTACAGTTTTGAGTTAAAGAAATGTTACATTAGATCACGGATAACAGTACTAAAAGGACTTGAAAAATGGTATCATTGTTAATTACCAGTCACAAGCAGCTTCTGCTGCCGCATTTGTTCCTTCAATAGTAGGTGCTGCAGGAGAGCTTGGTGGCTGCTGTTGGGTTTCCCCTCCATCGCTACGTGAGCATGGCTGGAGGGCGCTGCAATGCCACCGCTGTACTGGCCAGGCAAAGGGACGCCTTGCCTGAGGATCTGTGTCTCCGACTTCTGCTTTTCTTTGAGTGAATTAGAAGCCTGTGCCCAGAGAGAAGCAACGTGTTAATCCTCCTCATCCCGGTGACACTCCAGGCCTCGAGCTATTAGGTAACATGAAGAGGAAAATGCATAATCCTGTATCTTTTACACGACTTTTAGCAGCAAAAAAGAATTAACAAAAATATACAATTGCGGGATTGGAAACAATTTAGCGATTGGGTATCATTGTACAGAGCCTAAGGAAAATTTGTGTTACCTATTAAAAATGAGAGTAAACAAAACCCTCAGCTACACAGGGAAAACAAGTTTAAATGTTTTGTCCTGAAATATCGTTTATCCTGGTGATAATGGTTACATAAATAACAAAATATACTTCAAAATTTCTTACTGAGTAGCTAAGTGTTCTCCCCTAAAAAAAGTATGGAAGAAAATGCATATGTTAATTAGCATAACTCATTACATTATGTAGATCAAAAGACAATGTTGTAAACCACAAATACATGTACCATTTGTACGTTAGCTTAATAAAAAGTCAACATGAATTTTAGGCTTTGTAAGAGGGAAGCTGAGTTTTTATAATACTTTAAAATGCACTGCTTGAGAAAAAGGTATGCTGGAAAGTTAACATTTATTCAAATGAAGGCTATCATGTGGATGAAGATAAGGCAGGCTATAATTCTAGAATTTCAAGACAAACACAAAACATACATTCTTACAACATTTCCTCTAATTTTTCACAAAGCCATAAGTTTCAAATATTTTTTTAAAAGTGAAATTGTCTCACTCTGTGAAAGCTGGTACAAATAGACAAGACTTTGATTTAAATATATATTTTCTATTAATTCATAACAGATCCCTACATCTCCGAATATTAAAAATGACAACCCAGATACTTTTGTATAATAAAGTAAACTACAAGTGAAATCAGATATCAAATAAAAGTGTTATTAAGAACTTGAAAGGCATGGTAACACAGTAATGAAGTCATTATAATTACATCATCAAGAGCAATAATGAATTATCCTATTCAAAAAATTTAATGAATGGTGGTCATTTCGGTGTTACAAAAGCAGAAGGCTAATACCTCAAAATTATGTGGCATGTTTCTTTCCAAAACTTATGTTTCATCTTTCAAAATTGCTGTGCACTAGGGAGGCAAAACAATTTTCAGTGATGGAGAAATTGAAGGACGAAGAGGTAAATGGTTTGTCTGAATCACAGAGTGGGTCAATCCGATGTTTAATATACAAGGGATGCCTGGCCCAGCCCCCTCCCTTAAAATCTTCCTCTGTGCAGTGGGGGAGGGAGAATTAGAGATCCTTCTGCTGGGGAAAGGCTATGATTGATACGACTGAGAAATTAATTGTGAAGACCTCATCCACACCAAAATGGAAGCAAAGAAAAACAAAACTAATCCAAACCACACTGGCTTATTCATCCAATGGCACCAAATGGCACTGCCATTGAAACATAAGACGGTCTGCCTTTAGTATGAGTCCTCTGGGAAAGAATTTCTTGGACCACATTAAAAGTTGTGCATGTGTGAGCTAGCAGGAGGCAGTGGCTGAGAACACAGAAAATGGAGGCATCCAAGTGCCTGTTGGCATCTCAGAGAAGTGTGGGACTTGGTAGCTATAGGACATTAAACAAATGACAGAGAAATAAAAATAATCTTAATAAGTTATGATTTAAAGATTTACATGTCTTATTTTAAGTTTAATTTCCATTTCCACTTTACCTTCCATTAGAACCAGCTGTTTACAAGTCTTTGGAACTTCAAGAATGTACCTGATTCAGGATTTCCATGCTTCTCTCTGTAATCCTTGGATTATAGTGGGCACATTCTCAATCTGCCTACTCACAAATGGTGTATAGTCATAGAAGGTATTTGTTCTATTAATACTCCACATGGAATACACTTCTAGTTCTGATAAAATGCTTATCTCGAAGACATATGTGACCCTGACATGCTGCACTAAGAGAAGACATGGCTCTGTTAGTGCCCACCCTGTGACAAGAGTGGGGGCAGGTTTCCCCTCCAGTGTCTAATATCTGACGTCTATGTACGCACAGTTTAATTTCCTAAGGTCTGTGGTGAATTATCCCATGGGAAGCTGACAAATATTTGCTAACAAGTAAAATGCTCATTATTTTAGAGAGTATGTATAAAATTACTATTTTACTCGGAGAATTACTCTGCCTGAAGATCCTATTTCAGTAGTCAAGATTTTTAACCTAAATAATTCTCTTGAAGTCTCCTGAGAATGGCAAATATTTTCTTGGGGCTCATTTTCCAGATATGTAACCTTCACTGTGGAACCAGGGCATTCCCCAAACAAAGCCTCTCGGGGATGGATTCTACAAACAGGTGCTATAGGGATTCATGGCCTGAGCTCTGGCCTAGAGGATGCTCGGTCTGCCTCTCGCTCCCTGAGCCTGTGATCTTGAGCTTTTAAACTCCCCAGCCTTGGCTCCCTGGTCTGTAAATGTGAACTGCAGTCTCCCCTTCACAGGAAGGAGATACAAAGCTGCATGTGAAGACGATACATATGGTTATGTTGGAAATCATTACCCAATCAAGTAATTTGTAAATGATCACGTGAACCAGTTCTGTGAATTGAAACTAAAAGGAGAGAGCCTTTAACAAAGCAGCAACTAACAAACCATGTATGGGATGCTGTTTCTAACAAGGTTCACAAGTCCAAATACACAAGACATAGCATGTTCATGTAAAAAGTGCCACTGGGCTGTCTTGGGCTGGGGGCACCGTCACTCACATTGAGTGGGGACGACACAGCTGGCAGTCCCAGAGTGATATTGGGCAAAGAGGGCGAGGTGTAGAGGCTGAGCAGGTTCATGGAATCTTCGTGAATCAGAATGCGTTGCTGCGGAACCAGCTGCTGTTGAAAAAAAAAATGAGAAAAGGAGATTCTTAAAATATTAGAAATTCATCAGTTTTCTTGGTAAATGCTCAAATTCCATAATGCAGTTTCTATGTTACCATAGCGAAGAAAGACTCCAGTGCTTACTGCTTGCTTCTATATAATACTCAGGCATTTTAGTATAAAATTTGAATGAATTTTTTTTATCAGAAAGTCATAATATGGTGAAAGTCATAAGATATGGTGAATTAATTTCTATTTTCATTGTGAAGAATTCTTTTGGAAATCTGGCTTTGCGGACTATAATTAACATGTCTGTCATGAATCAGGGAAATACCAGAATCAAAGTTGGTGACTGATGCACATTTACAACCCTTCCCGTACAACAACAGCCACAGCTTTGACCACAGTCTCAAGCCACTGTTCTGAGAGGAGAGCCACAGGAGAGCAAGCGGCACCAGAAGGCTTCTCCATTAATCACATTTTAGTATAAAATTATCAATAAGCTATGGGTGGTGTAATTTCACATCATATACTTTCAAAACTAAATTTAAAATGTTACGGGATCTCTACTTGACAGTAATATGCACTTATAATGAAATACCCTCAACCTTTTGGCGTCTCGATATGTTTTACAACAAATACTGTTTTAACCCAACACTAAGAGATGTGTGTTCCCACATGTGGCTCACAATGGCTGCTTAGCTTACATTTTCTGTTTTACTCTTGCTCCCCTCCCAGGACTTTTATACAATAAGAGTTCCAAAGGTCTTATTAGACCAGGGAACTCTGGCCTGATACGGTTCCCAAGGGTACAACATCCTGAAAAAGAATACCCCATGTAACAGTGTGGTACAGTGACTGCTTTCTTCCCAAACAAAAAGCATATGGGACTCCAATAATAGACCACCTCCAAGAGGGATATTGCACGCACGGGCTTTGACTAAAGTAAATATAATAACTTGTCAAGCATGTTTGGAGGAGCTGTAGATTTTCCCCAGGACAAACCTGGGATATCAATTAACAAGGGGAAATATCACGTGCCAATACAACACAGCCTCAGAATGTCACCGAAGAGTGATGCACCAGGAAAACACAGGATGTTATTCCAGAACGTTATCTCAATCATAGGACTGTTTGGAGATGAGACTCAGCCTTAACATAATACAAGCAGAAGCATAGCATGGGGTTTTCCCATTGCAGCCTGGAGCTCTAACCCCAGGCTGTGTTTCTTCTTAAAAGAACATGTCAGTTATTCATGCATGAGAATTGTGTTATGCCAAGCTATTAATGCTCCATTGAGTTTACATGGTGAAATTAAAGATGCCCACGCCTACAAAGCAAGAAAATTATTGGGAAAGATTTTTAAATTATAATGTATGAGATTATAATTTTATTTTAGGAGTTTTTGGTAACAGTTGTGTGTTTGCTCAAAGTAAAATAGCAAGCAACTATTTTGTTTATAAAATGGGCTTTGAAATCAGTTTTAATATATAATATATGCATGGAATACAAAAGATGCAAAGAAGTAAAAATGTTTTATTAGCTCACTGGCAGCTAATACTCTTTCAAAATGAAGGAACAGCCCACTCATCTATATTCATAAAAGAAAAACAATGTGGAGACAGGCACTTCAGTTACAAAGTGCCATTCAAAGTTGACTGCTTCCCACAGTAGCCCCAGGACGGAATCTCTGGCAGGAGAGTCTACAGTCCACAGAGAGGAAGTCATCTCCACACGTTGGCTGACATCTGTAAACCCTCCTGCTCCATAACACGAAGACAACACAGTTGTGTGGAAGCCGGTTTCTTTCCAGATGTGGTGATGGGAACAGCTGGCAGGCCCGGCTGAAGTGCTGGGATTGCAGACCTCAGAATTTATATAAAAATTGTGTGATGTCATCTCTCACGTGGTGCATTCATCCTCTTCACTAATCCTCCCAGACTACCTCGTAGTTCAGGCAAGGAGACTGAGCATGCGCATGGAAAGGAGTCACTTCAAAGCGGGACCAGCAGCAACATTCCCAGTCCATCCAACTCTGCGACTGCCCTCCTCCCCAAGGGAGGCAAGAGAAACAAGGGGGATTGATATCACATTTGAGAAAAGCCCTAAGGCTTACGAAGAGAAGGGAAGGAGAGAGGAGAGCGTGAGGCCTCCTAAGAAGACAGCCCTGACCATCTTACAAATAGAAGAACTGCTGACCTTGGCAGACGTTGCCTAAGGTTCTGCAGAACTCGAGGACTGTTCTCTGCGCCCATGTCTGTGGCTACAGTTGTCCTTCTCACAGACATTGCTTGTCTCTCTCAACTGTAATGAGGCACTAGGCACTGAGTTTAAGAAGGTTTCCAGTGTTGCAGATCTAGATCCTCCTAGAACCGGACAACTGTTCCCTACAAATTTGCCTTTTTGTTCACAGCTTTCTCCAGCTAGGGTTTTGATAGGAACAGTCTATCTGTTCTGGGCCTTAATAAAATCTGAGTGTAGACAGATGGTGCAGAGCCATTTACATAGACAATGAGGGATCCTGACCTGTGCTCTCACAGGCTGTGGTGCTCCCCACCTCAGCACTGACCTACTGTGTGCTCTCACAGGATGGCGCATGCTCCCCACCTCAGCACTGACCCACTGTGTGCTCTCACAGGCTGTGGTGCTCCCCACCTCAGCACTGACCCACTGTGTGCTCTCACAGGCTGTGGTGCTCCCCACCTGAGCACTGACCTACTGTGTGCTCTCACAGGCTGTGGTGCTCCCCACCTGAGCACTGACCCACTGTGTGCTCTCACAGGCTGTGGTGCTCCCCACCTCAGCACTGACCCACTGTGTGCTCTCACAGGCTGTGGTGCTCCCCACCTGAGCACTGACCCACTGTGTGCTCTCACAGGATGGCGCATGCTCCCCACCTTAGCACTGACCCACTGTGTGCTCTCACAGGCTGTGGTGCTCCCCACCTGAGCACTGACCCACTGTGTGCTCTCACAGGCTGTGGTGCTCCCACCTCAGCACTGACCCACTGTGTGCTCTCACAGGCTGTGGTGCTCCCCACCTCAGTATTGTGATAAGCGTGCACAGTCCAAAGTAAAACACAGAACATTTTTAGAAGATGGTTTCAGAAAGCCCATTCTTGGGGCTATATTGCTGAGATGTCAATGTGTCACAACTTAGAGCACTGGAAAGGTGGCTTTAACATAAAACCTTTCCACAACTGCAAACCCACACTGTAGACAAACGAACTAGAAGCATTAAACGTAAGGCTATCATATAACCTTTCTGAAGCCTTTGACGATCAGTTCATCAGGGCTGAGTTTGGGTGTTAGGTGTGGGCAGGCAAAGAAGTCCTCAGCGGCTAGTCAGTTACGGAGAGAAAGGAGAACGAGCATCAACAGTCCATCATCACCACCACTACTATAGTAAAGTCAGAACATGCGAATGGCACAAAGGATGCAGTTAATGCAATCCCGGGCTTTCATGGGTACCTGGCAATTCACCAGGAACCGTGGAGCTGAAGTGGGGGGAACCACCTTTTAGTAATATGCTTCAAAATAGTATTTAACTTCTTTCCTCACTACAATGTCAATTGCGAGAAGGTCTTATAGATACATAAAGTACACATAGACTGAAAAATATGCCCCTCAGAGGAGACTCAGCTATTGACACTAAGATAATATTGACTTAAAGAAATGGAATCAAGTCTGTTGGTGCTCTAAACGGAGGGAACTTAGCAACAGGCACAGCACTTCCGCCATTCAGAAAAATAAACCACCACTACAACACACACCATGAACCGAGGGACTCCTCTCCTGGACAAGGGAGCTTACAGAACATCTCCCATGAAGGCTGTCAGGATGGCTGAGACAACACTCCTTAGCCTGTCTCCCCAAGGAGTAGGAAGGGGTAGAGAAATCCGAGCAGCAGGCACCGCAGGCTTTTACAGTGATCAAAAGCATTCGGCAGCTACTACTGGGTCTAAACCACGTGGTCAGCGATAAAGCAAGATGTGAGATGAGGTCACGACGCTGTGCCACCTATGTTCTCTAAAATCCACAAGACACAAACCGTAAGGACACGCTTTGTACGAGAAAACACAGGGCAAACCCCAGAAATGCCACTGCTCTGCCGGCAAGAAACACAGAAAGGGAGGAAGAAGAGGAAAGGAAGGCGGGAGTGAGGGAGGATGACGGGGGGAGGGTGTGTGAAAAACATAAAATGCCTTTATTACTTGTACGTGTGACTTGAAAACAGATACATAATACCTGCCTACTTTTGATAAACCCACAGAATACATGAACATATAATGCTCACTTTACTGAATATTCAAAATTATCTATAATAGGCCAGAGAACCAGAAAAAGAAATACAGACCTGGATGAGTAAAACAAAATGTTTATTGTGAATATTTCACACCTGAGCTCTGCCATGTGTGGGCTTTGGATGCAGCCACCTACCTTCCCTAGGAAACATCTTTCAGCCCAAGACAGAGATGGTCTGACTATCTCGTCAGGTAGCATCCATGTCTATCAGGATGGGCTACAGGAAGACATACTTGTGTCAAATGACTTTGAATTAAAGTGGTAGACTGTTTAAAAACAAGACAGCCACATTTTTAAAAAGCCCTTAATGACTTAATGTTTGCGGATGGCTTTATCCGTATTTTTTAAGATTGTATCTCTTTTCTATGCTTTGTTCAGAAAAATGGTATGAGAAGTTCTGCATGGTAAAGAAAGAGTTATTTCCAGGAAGTAAAGCTCTCGAAGCTTGAAGTTTTCATTTTACATCTAAGATCATATTACCATAAAATGTGAGATAAAACTTTGAGGATAATAATAGCAATAATTTTTATTACATTTTTCTTATACTCTATTCTTCGCCTTCCCCAAGTTTTCCATGCCATGCTCTTTCTCTCTCGCTCTCTTTCTTCTCTCAATAAAGTAACAAAAAGTCAAAGCAAATGAAAATCAAAACAAATAAATCAAGACAAGAGATGCCAAAACAAAATCAACAAAGAGTCCACGAAGAAAACATGGAGTCTATGTTGTGTTGGCCAACTATGCCTGGGCACGAGGCCTGCCTTGGGACAAAGTTGATATATGCAGGGGCACTCCACTGGAGAAAACTGGAGGTTGGAATTTAAATTTTATTTATGAATATGTGTGTGCATGTATGCACATATCAGTATGGGTACCCGAGGGGACCAGAAGAAGGTGTCAGATTTCCCAAAGCTGGGGTTAGAAGCGGTTGTGTGTCCCCCAACATGGATGCTGGGAATGGAACTTGGGTCCTCCAGAGAAACAGCGGGAGCGGCTGAACTGCTAAGAGGCCTGGGAGTTTGCTTTCTAACTCTGCATTTCTATTTTTACGAAAGATCTTGCTTTGTAATATTGGCTCATGTGATTATTGTGTCATAACAACTTCTTTTCCAAGTGGGGGCCGAGTTCTAATTGCTGCCATATGAACCGTCGCTCTGAGGTACCCACTTAAATAAGGCAGCAAACGCCATGACAGCTATTACAAAACAACAGGCAGATGAATCATGGGAGGCCGGAGCGACACAAACAGCATCTCCGGGGATCTTAGAACATTTAGCCTTAGTATTAGAATTATTTTTTTTTTCAAAATAATCAGTTGCTTTTGATGTAAAATTTTTTTTAAATAAAATAACATCAGACACAGCCACTAATGTCAAACTAGAAATAAGGCAGCAGCTTGGCTTCGGCTAAGATAGCTATCAAATAAATCCACGGGATCTAACGTCATGGTGCTGATACCCATGGAAGCATATTTGAACCCACAGGCCCACAGTATTAGCAATCCAAGCAGCTAGATGGCTAGAGACATCTCTGACGGGAGCTGGAAACAGAAACGCTTGAGGTTTGAGTGCCCAACCACGTCTGCAGGGGAGTAAAGTGAGTAGCTCCAACAGTCTGCGTTCCGGGACTGAGAATATGAGGAAAGAAAAGGAACAGAAGCGGCCAGAGCCGACGGAAGATGGAGACCAGCTCTCGTATGAGAGCTGCTGGCCTGAGGACACACAACTTAGTGAGTTTTCCCTCTGAGGAGTCCGCGCTGCTGATAGCAAAAATGAACTTGTTCCAGATTTCACAAGGTGCGACCTCTTTTCCACAAAGGAGCGGGAACCAGTCTTGCCACCGTTTCACCCACCGGGAAGCTGAGGGTTAACACAAGTTTGGCAACTTGGCCAACAGCTGGTTTTGTAGAAGTGCCCAGGCCCAGCCTCCAGACAGAATCCGGACACGTCACCCACTATGCTCAAGGGCATCCTGCCTTGCGATCCCAAGTCCATTCTCCCTCCAGTCCTGCCTCTGCCTCATCTCAGTCAGGTGGGATTTGCACCTTATACGATAGAAAACATAACAGATTCAAGAACTTTGGGGGTCCCTTTTCCAATGTCCTAAGCTGCAGATGCAAATAGAATCCCGTTCATTCAAGTGTGGTCTGAAGGAATTAGGTACATTGTTTTCTCGTTACAGGCCATGGAACAGGGAGCCATGCACACACACAGGGAGCCATGCACACACACAGGCCATGGAACAGGGAGCCATGCACACCCAGGCTGCTTTATTTTAAAAAAAACTTGGTGACTGGGGTTGGTCTAGGGCCTTCTGTGTGCCAGGCAAGGACAGAACCACTAAGAGACACACGCAACTCTGTTTTTTTTTCCCCCTTTTCCCATCCAGACAGGTTTTCACAATGTGACTTTGTACCCCAGGCAAACTGTGAACTTGAAATATTCCTTTTACCCCCCTGTGTTATTCGATCAAAGCAGAATAGTCTATAAATGACGCATTACACAGCCGAGGGGCTCGGAATCTCAATGTGGGAAGAATTTTGCCCTCCAGCTTCCTGTTGCTATGAAATCACATTCTATTATTAATCTTAGAGGGTAGCTGTGAAAATCACGCAGGGAGTTCGAAGACACACTTTCCTGTGTCTGGTTTTTCTAGGTGGTAGCGGGCTACAACCATCATGTTAATTCGCTGAGAGTTGGCCTAAATTCTGCTGCCTCCTCACCTACACTGCAGAACTCCGTGAACGTGATGCAGCAGAAAAACACATGTTAGCCATCAGGGTCGCATTTTTGTTTCTGGGCCACAGAAAGGCTGCCCATCAGTGCATGAAGGTCTGCCCGCCTGGCCTTTGGGAGCACACTTCAGGCACACAATTAATTCATTATGAGGTAAGTCTCTGCTTGCTTTTGAACTAGCCTTGCCAGCACTGGAAGTGAGTGTCCTGCCACTGACCTGGAGAAATCCCTCTACCCTTTAAACTCCACTAAATCACATTTCCTTCTGTTTTGTTGTGATTTTCTTTTTTGGCCTGGTGTGGGTGGGAGGAAAGATTTGCAGTGGTGGAACACATTCAACAGTTAGCCGAAAAGTTGGGATATCCAAACCTAGTCTGTGAGAGTAAAAGATTGAGGAATACAAAACGGATTGAAATAAATAAAATACCTTGATTTATAATCTTCATTCTCTCTGTCTCTGTGCACACACACACACATAGATACATGGATGACATCAGGGTTAAGCAATCTAGACAGTTTAGTAGGTCCCAATTAGCCCGAAAAGAATATCCTTCCATTTTGCCATTTGGTTCCAGTAATGCTTCTTCCTGGTTTCCATTCCACTTTAACAGAGAAGTGGACGGATGTTTATAATGAAAAGCTAAGAATGTCTTCTCCAGCCTGTCTCAAACCACACTTTGTTCCCGCTCTGAATGTGATCAGATCCCACAGGCTTGTCCTCACGCCTCTGCACCCCTCCACTAAACAGGCTCAGACAGATACTGTAATTCTTTCTGCATCTAAGAAAATGTGAGCATGCGCTAAAGAGCCAAAGCCACCGCCTTGACATCGCCGCTCCGCGCATTACCTGAACGGATGAATGTCCAGCCACAGGCTGTCATTTCCCAAGAGTGCATGCAGACAGCCCCAGGAGCGATTGTAACCTAACCCCAACACGTTTGTGTGGTTCGTGAGAAGAGCATCGTTCAAATGAAAGTGGAAATATAACACTTATTTACTTACTATTTGGATGAAATTGTTCTATTCTCGTAAATAATTAAGGGGTCATAGAAAAGTCCCTCGGTATGAGGATGCAGTCTCGACACCTGAAAGTCCTGCTTGCATGTGGGACCACAAGTATTCACAGAATATTCTAGCTCAAATCATTATTGGAGAGCATAATGCAAAATATGTAGAGAGTAACTAGATAGCAAGAAGCAGGAAACTGATGGATGCCTTAGAGATTAGCATGAAGGTCTGGATGGAGGTTGGTCAGCCTGCGGAGGTCTTTATCCTTTCTACTCTTGCTCTCGGGCACATAGTAGAGTTTTAGGAGAAGCTGTCGGAGTCACATCTGCTCTGTCAGGCACCTGGGGGCTCTGAAAGTAATCCAGGGATGAAGCGCCAGGCTGTGACTTCTGCGGTGACACCACACAGACTCACTCACGGCGACACTCCTCAGGCAGGGAATCTGCCACTGTCGGGGTGAGGTGAGCTTAGACACCTGGGGGCTCTGAAAGTAATCAAGGGATGAAGCGCCAGGCTGTGACTTCTGCGGTGACACCACACAGACTCCTCAGGCAGGGAATCTGCCACTGTCGGGGTGAGGTGAGCTTAGACACTTGGGATCCCAGCACAGTGCTGTGAGCGGCTTACTTAGCGCTTTCTCCTTGCCCAGCACTCGGCCTGTTCTTCTCTCCTGAGCGTTTTGAGTTTATGAGAAACCAAAGGTCAATGTGAAGACCTTGAATCTTTTAAAGCAAAAGCGACTCCAGGGATTTTCAGAGACAACCTCCATTTCTACCTAATGATTTCATAAAGACGAGTCGTCTACGTGTGTGACAGTGTGTGTGTGTGTGTGCGTGTGGCATGCATGGAACTCTTGACTGGAGGACATTTCTGCCAGTGAGGATGATTGTTCAGAATCACTGGGTTCCATCAGGAGACAGTACAGCGATTCCCTTGCAGGCAGAAGTGTTTTGGTACAGTGTGGATAATTCAATGGCAGGAACACTACAGATACATCCCAATGAATGACAGATTTGATGAGTGTCTCTTAGTCTCAAAGTACCAAGACTATAAACTACAAGAGGAGAGGCAAGTAACAGTTTCACACAAGAGCAAACCACAGCAACTCCTGTACAGAGTTTGGATAGGAAGTAGGCAGTATGACACACAGAAGGAAAAAAAAAAAAACAGGGCTTCCATCTCTGACCAGTCTGTTCAGAGTAGTTCCATTAACACGGCTATTCAGACTGCTACCTCAGCACCGTCTAGTAAAGCAAGTACTGTAACTCCTCCTGACAGCCACTTTCTTCTTAGTGCCGAGGGTCACTGACTATCACAAATGATAATATTTTAAAACAATCTTCTATACTAAGTCACTTTCGGTAATGGAGTTCCCATTTTTATTCGTGAATAAAGGGGTATATGCAAAATACAATCACGTAGTAAATACTAAAAAGTGCTTGCTTGGTACAGCTCTAGCTCCCTCAATCATAATACAGACATCAATTGTTTTCTGTTATACTCCAGGTCAAATGAATAAAACCTACCCTTTAGCAGTTAGTGTGAGAGGCTTCCATGGACTTTGTTGGATTTTTATAGGTGTAGTCAGTCCTACTAGAAAAACAAACACCCAGGCAGGACGACAAATTCGTGTCTCACTGGGCAATACAGAAGAAGCTTAGCTGGGAAAGTAGGAATGTTGGCTTGCATGGCAGTGTTTCTCCAGCATGGATGTTATCAAAACAACTCTAAATATAATCAAGTTTATTCAAATCCACATATAAACTATCATCGATATGGGGCATCGTAAGAAAGACAGCTAATCTTTCTTCATAGTGGGGAATACTTGGGCTCTGTTTATAAATCTGCAATGTTTGAATGTGAGGGGGCCTGGACAACTAACACTCTTTACCACAGAACCAGTTTCCAGAAGAAGAAGGAGAGGGGCCTTACCTCAGGGAGAGGCGTGGGAGGCATAACTGAAACCTCATTTTCGGGGACATTTCCGGCGGGCCCATTGTTTGGTGAACTAGGACCAGACCCTGGAGAGCTGCTACTGACCGAGGACTCTGAAAAACATGGGGAAACACACATGCATTTGTGAACAACACACAAAGATCAGCTCCGCTGGCTATAATTCGTAGTGCCAGACAGGGTGTGTGAATGACAGGCGTTACACATAAGAAGCGAGGATGTTTGGACTGTTTCTAAAGTCTCCTATCTCCCCACTTTGTTTTGAACTGTCAGAAGTGCTATACGGTATTGACAGTTGCTATCAAAGGTACAGAGCTATTAAAGGTCACAGAAGCCAACACGGAAAAGGGGAAACAAGAAAGGCACAGTCTTTCCCTTGCTTTAATGCTATCATAACAGCATGCAGTGATAGAGATAATACATCTGCACATGGCGTAAAAGCAAGCTGCCAACACGTTGGAGAAATCCAGGGCAAGTGGTCCTGATGCTGAACTATATACTGATCTTTACTTGATACACTAAGAGTATATCTTATTATAGTACATGTCAGTCCAATTGTTTGAGGAAAAAAAATAGAAACTAAAAGTTTATACATTTCATTGATGACCTTATAAAATGTCAGGTGACTTTAAATTTACCCCCATTGAATTTCTGGAAGATGAAATGTTGCCAATTTAGTAGTGTACATATTTAAACACCAATGAATAAGAAATTTCTTTTGGCAAAAATTTGAAAACAATATAGACTACTTGATAATCTTCAGATAAAAAATTCATATGGACCCCAACATGTAAAGAAACTAATGTGTTTTAAAAACATTTAATTAAAAACTGAAAATTCCAATTTCTAAAAGTCGAGCTGCCCAAATTATTGTATTGAACATGGGAAATTATCCTTGCCACCCTCTGCAGTCACTTTTGGTGTTTTCTAAGCGCCTCATCCACGCTGTGCTAACCCCGCTCTGCTCAATGGCGTGGTCTCTCACTCCTCAGGGACTGAGAGATGGGACCTCATTCCCACCTGCGCATTTTCCTTCTAGCCATGACTACACTCCGCTGCTGGAACTCTTCTTAAACTCTTCAAACCCGTGGTTTTCATTCCTTTCCCTCTCCCAGTGACAGCACATTTATTTTTACCCATAATCCTACCGTACCCTTTTACTGCTCCATACATGGTTCTAGACTGAGACTCTTGGGACTGTCCCCTCGTTCTCTCCTGCCATGGTTTACTCAGACAACGGCACCGTTTCTTTCAAACACCACCAAAGTTGACCGCTTTGACGAAGCAGTCGCAGATGTGCACGCCTTCCTCTGTGCCCAGGATTCCTTTTCCTCCCATCATTCTCTGCACACAGACGTGCACTAAGTTTGCAACCGTACTGTCTCAGTGTCTCCTCTGATGCTGAATCCTATCTTCGGGCACACTGCTTTCACGGATGGAGTATTTCTTGTGTAAAGCTCAAACTTCTAGTCTGACTTCCTTTGAAATGTTGGATTTTTTCAACAATTTATTTTATTTTTACTTTGTGTGTGTGTGTGTGTGTGTGTGTGTGTGTTTGAGTCCCTAGAGAGGTCAGAAGAAGGAGTCAGCCCCCCCAAAGCTGGCTTTACAAGCAGTTGTAAGCTGCACCAAAGGGTGAGAAAACTCAGGAATCTTCTAGAAGAGCAGCAAGTCCTCTTATAACCACTGTTGCCATCTCTCCAGGCCAGAATTCTGGGTATGTTTAATCCTCAAATACATGTGTAGAGATCACATCATATTTTAATGCAATGTTTCCTCTGTGCTTGCATGTTACCCCATCCTCAGAGTCATCCTTATTCCTTCTCCCGAGCCACCAGCCTTTCATCTCCCTCTTCATGGAATCTCATACATGTCTGACGACTGCCATTCCAGCCTAATTACTGATTACTTTCTCTTAAACTGTGGCATAAACTCTTACTGTTCAGAGTCACCAGAGTAATCTCTAAAGCTTTCTTTAAAATTTTTCTCCCACTTGCCCTTTCTGCTCTCATCTCTGCACAAACACACACTTTCCACGCTGTGCTTGGCACACTCTATGTCTACTGCCAACCACACTCACTGGCCTCACTAATCCTACCTGGAAATTTAGTTATGTGCCATCTGCCCCCATTGATCAGGGGCCCACACGTTCCAAACAGTATTTTCTTGACTTCCATCAAAATAACTTTCAGCTGTCAACTCTCTGCCCTAAATGTTGCTTTACTCTAAAGCATGGTGCAATTAGAAGGATGGGGGATTGGTGAATGAATTCTGGTGCTGACATTGGTTTATTATGGCATTTGAGCAAATTATTGGTACCACAAAATGTTCTGTCCTACATGATCAATGCCTTTGTGTCCATATATTATGATAACAATGTGATTAATCTGGATGTTTCCAACACTGCCTTGTAAAATGTATCTTCTTTCTCTCTTTCTGTATATTTTTCTTTGAAACAGGGTCACACCATCCAATCTGGGAGGGCTCAAACTCTTGACCTCCTCTCTCTGTCACCCTAGTACTTGCATTATAAATGTAGTGTAGCAATGCAACAGACAGGCATTAGTACGTGTAGTGTAGTAATGCAACAGACATGCATTACTACATGTAATGTAGCAATGCAACAGATAGGCATTAGTACGTGTAGTGTAGTAATGCAACAGACAGGCATTACTACGTGTAATGTAGCAATGCAACACACAGCCATTACTACGTGTAATGTAGCAATGCAACACACAGGTATTACTACATGTAATGTAGCAATGCAACAGACAGGCATTACTACGTGTAAGGTAGTACTGCAATAGACATGCATTACTACATGTAGTGTAGTAATGCAACAGACATGCATTACTACGTGTAGTGTAGCAATGCAACAGACAGGCATTACTACGTGTAGTGTAGTAATGCAACAGACACACGTTACTACATGTAGTGTAGCAATGCAACAGACACACATTACTACATGTAGTGTAGTAATGCAACAGACACGCATTACTACATGTAGTGTAGTAATGCAACAGACATGCATTACTACGTGTAGTGTAGCAATGCAACAGACAGGCATTAGTACGTGTAGTGTAGTAATGCAACAGACACACGTTACTACGTGTAGTGTAGCAATGCAACAGGCACACGTTACTACGTGTAGTGCAGCAATGCAACAGACACACGTTACTACGTGTAATGTAGTAATGCAACAGACATGCATTACTATAGACACATGGCTTTATTTTATTTTATTTTTTAATGCACTTAAAAATTCTTAGAGACACTTCTTTTCCTGACTCTGACATTACCAGGATGGCTATGACTTCTCACCAATATTTCATCCCCACATTTTTAAAAACACTACATTCTTAAACATTCTTCTGTCTTAACATCTTAAATGATCTTACTTAGTGTGCTATCAGAACAAAGGTGTTTTGTTGTCTAGAGACCCCTGTGGTTGCAGCGTATCAGCTATAGTAACAGGACGCCACCTCACCAACTGGTGGGGAACTGAGAACAAGCAGCGAATGCTTTTATGGACGAACTGGGAAAACTGGAAGAAGGAATGACCTTGGACCTGCACTTGGGGAATAATAACTCTCTGGTGAACATGGAGCACCAGAGGAGAGGAAAGACCAAAGCAGGCACCAGACTGAGCCAGGGCACAGCATTTTCAAAGAAGACAACTTCCTGGAGGAAGAGTGGCAGAAAAAAACTTGAATTTGAAAATGCGTGAAGTGGCAATTTGCTCTTACATATTACTTATGAGGAGGAGAAAAAGAAAAAAGGAGCAGACGCTTTAAAGAAAAAAAGGTAGAGAAGAGAGTAGCAGAATGCCAATGTAAGAGCTACAGCACTGTGGCAGCCTCCAGCTGGGCACTAAGAACATTACTATTGCCACGTCCAAATTAGACGGAAGTCCACTGAGAAATGGAAAGGCACCAGGGCAGACACCAGTGTGCTGAAGGTCAGGTCTTCCACATACAGTTAGATTCAGTGCAAAATACTCATTTAGAATAAGAAGTAACAAACAAAAAGTTCATAGAGGCTCTGCTGGGACTAGCTCACAGGCTGGAAGTGTACGAAAGCAGCAACCACACAAGGCAGGGACACTTCACCTCTTTCATGGGATGAAAACAAATGCTTCCTAATTTTTATCCCATAAAATTAAGGGAAAAAAATCTATTCATTAAAACTTAGAATTTAATTACTATAAATTTGTGATTATATAAATATTAAAAATAAGTTACTGTTCATTTCTTCCAAATTTCTCATCTCCCCTAAGGAAAAAGTTTTAAAAATATAACCACTAAGACTGTTTTTACATAACAGTACCTATCTACTGTGAATAGAGAGAAGACAGAGGTGTGTTTTACAAACTGAAATAAAATACGTCACAGTTTTTAAAAACACACGAAGGGTGAGGTCTGATCTGAGAACGCCAACACCATCTGCCTGCACTGCTATAGTCACAGGCTTCTCAGGAAGGAGGACAAAGTTCCACCCAGACCTCTTTCCCTCTCTTTCCCTGCACTTTGCCCAGGCACACAGCACTGCTCTGAGTCCCCAGGAAACATCAGTTGGTCTTATCCTGTGTAGCCCTTCAGGGTTCCGTGTCTTAGGAAGCAGCAGCCAACATCACTGTGGTTGGCCTTTTGGGTTCTTGTAGTCTTAGGGACTTCTCTAATTTCAAAACAGGTACAACAAGGCGAGGGGGTTTGTAAGACATCAGGTTGAATTTCCTAACGTGTTCACCCCACTTCTAACCAGGCAGTTAAAAAAATATGAACTCTTGCATTTGAGACCAGTGAAAATGACAGTCTTTTCCCCTCCATAAAAGGCAGCATTTCCCCCTCCTGCCATGAGTCCCAAGTCACCAGTAAACACATAAAGTCATTTATGAGTTCTGTAAATTTGTTGAAAAGTCAAGGTTTTGGTGTTCCACATAGTTTAATTTTCCCAGATGTATTTCCTACCTTCATGTCTGAGTAGGGGAGGGACAAGCTCCTCTTGAACCTCCCTCTGCACATTTCTGGTCGGATTTCATTAAAAGCTGTTGTCTACTGGTAGGCGTCTGCCCAGTGGATTTCCCCTTTCTAAAAAGCACAGGGCAAGCGCTGGTGTGCATAGCTGAGCTTTGACTGACACGACAGTGGTTTCTCTCCCTTTAATTTCCTGCACTATGCCACTGGTGAACGCATAGCAAGGTTGACTGAACTGCTGGTGAGCTTTCAAAGAAACTGCCTTTCAAGACAAACTTTTCACAATAAGTTTTATTAATGAACAGGCATATTTATCCTAAACTTAGAAAAGTGCTATGCCCCGCAAGTGTTAGTGTGACTGCCCGGCTCTCAATTACCTGTCACCTCAAACACTCTCTTCTTGAATGAAGTGACAACATTTCCATCCTTCCGCCTGAGTAAGGGGCTGCTTCTCCTCTCTGCCACTTTCTGTTTTAACCTGGACCGCACCTTCAAGTTGGGCTCTGAGGCTGGGAATTGAGACAAAGAAAATAGATAAAAATTAAAAAATAGAGAGCCAGTTGCTCCTGTGTCTAAACTTAAAAAAAAATAAGAAAGACTATCTTCTCATGGTCCATTCTTCTCAAATTAAAAAATCCAACCACATAAATAAGGTGTTGACTCTGAATTCATCAAACAGACAAATATAACAATCATTTTATAAAGTAAGTTTCACACTTCTCAACGTGAACGTGAAATGGAAGCAGAAATTACTCTTCTACTCAACTTGTATCTAGCACAACCATAACTGTTAATGGGAGGTTTAATCACTAATTACGGGTAGGTCTGAATAAGATTTATTAGATGTCTCTGGCTGGCCTCCGCTTTCTCTCAAGCCTGAAATTCAATGACCACTAACACAGTAACTTAATGTGAGGTTGGAGACTCTGACCTGACCCTGGCAACAAGAAGACACCTCCACGGAGCATAATTTATGCCTGATTCTGACTCCTGAGGTATTTCCTTGTCAGTAGCTTCTAACCTAAAACTCTGGGAAAACACACTGGACACAATAACACAAGATGAACTAGTGACCTAGAGTCCCTGCCAGTAACCCTTTCCCTGCCCCCAGTACTCAGGCAGGAAAAAGGAAGCGGGCCAAAGTGGAATTGAAAGTTTGGAGTTAGGGTATATGTTCGAAAACACAAGCTCACATTACCCATATGCACATTGGTATGTCTTTGGCTACCTTATTACAAATAACGAATCTATATGGTTATCATTTATTATACTTTTAAATAATTATGTTGGAAGAATGGAACCATTGGGCCCATTTTTGTGCAGTCGAAGTACATTATCTGTGATGATGGGGTGGTGATATAACCACAAGGCTGTTTCTGATGATAACTGACATCTTATGTTAGCTTCTATATTGCAATATGACCCTAAGTGCTTTATCAATACTAACTTACTCATACATACTTAAAACATGCGTACGGCATATACTTTATCTATAACGTTGTAGTGCTGATGAGAAAGTTAAACTACAGAGGTTGGGTGACTTGCCCGGCCTTGTAGGGGTGATGGGATGAAGCCAGGCCTGTGTCCAAGCACCCTGCCCTATGCTAACCTTGCTAGGCACTCCTCTTTCCTTACACTGGAACATCATAAAAATTAGAAGATGGCTTCCGTAAAGTGCTAGTGATCACCCACAGGAGACAACATGTTCCAGAACTTTCTGATCACTGAAAACCTCTCCTCTAAATTCAGAGCACTCCCACACCCCTGTGAGACATGAAGGGTCCACACTTCCCTGTTCTCTTGTTCTCTTCCCTGTAGCTGCTAACTTAAACTGGGATGACTGCATTTCTCAGTTATAAGAATAAAGCAAGCTCTTTCATTTTGTGTTGTGGTATTTATATTGTGCTTGGCAATATTGACATTATAGAAATGAGGGACTGAGAGTCCTCAATATTACTGTACCGGCACCCTTTCTGTTTTGCTTAGGACATACTCAGAAAAACAATGAGATTTCATTATTCACAATTTTTGGTGAAACCTAATGGATTAAACACTGGCTGTCAAGAGGGAACAAAAGCGCTGGCTTGTCACGTCTTGAGGCTGTAGAGGGGGACAGTGGTCTCAGCATGGATGATCCTGCCCTCCCTTCTTCCCCGACTGTCACTGATCCATAACTTTAGAGCTAAGAATCAACCATCCCCTCTCCTTCAGCCCTGTGAATGAATGTCTTCTTGCTCTTGCCATTTTCTGGGTATCTCCACAACCCTTTACCCTGATCCCTTCCTTGTAAACAGCATTGCCAATCAACAATACTGCTGATGACAATAAGTTCCATCAGGGGTTCTCCCTTTTATTCATCACTTCCTTGGCATCATCAACTCAACTCTGATCAAGAGACTCCTTTACAAGTTGCAATCAATAGAGATTTGAATGAAATAATATCTCATATAAGATAAGACATTGATTCTAAACCAGAGAAGATACGCCTGGCAATGGTTGAGACATCGTTGGTCATCAGCATGGAAGATGATACCAGCACTAGTGTCAGAAGGTATGGGTATGTCCAGTATCTCACAATGGCCAGGGTTCTCTTCATGATGAGGAACCATCTCGGCCCAACGGTCAGTAGTGTAAGAAGCTCCAAGCAGGGGCCATTAGTAAGTGGTGGCTGTCAGTAACCGCACCACTATGGGGTGAGTAAAGGCAATGGTAAGGACTGTGGAAGACAATCAGAGAGGGTGTGGAAAAGTTGGGCAAGAAAGGAGAAATGTTCAGAGAGTCCAGTTTTATCCCATGCTTTTTCAGTCACAGTCCAGCTGGTCTTGGTGAGCTCTCAATAGATCAGCTCCACTGTCTCAGTGGGTGGGTGCATCCCTCGTGGTCCCGACTTCTTTGCTCATGTTCTCCCTCCGTAATGTGATGGCTTTGTGGGAGCCTAGCCAGTTTGGATGTTCACCTTCCTAGATATGGACGGAGGTGGGAGGTCCTAGGTCTTACCACAGGGCAGAAAACCCTGACTGCTCTTTGGACTGGAGAGGGAGGGGGAAAGGAGTGGGGGGAGGGGGAGAAGGGTGGGAGGAGGGGGCGTAGGGTGGGAGGAGGGGGAGGGAAATGGGAGGCTGGGAGGAGGTGGAAACTTGTTTTTTTCTCCTTTTCTCAATAAAAAAAGAAAAAAAAAAAGAAAGGAGAAATGGCCAAAAGTTGACGAGTGTTACAGGGAGCCCTTGAAAATTTATTTTTGAAAATTCTTCCTTAAATATCCTAATGCTATCAATATTTCTATCTAAGTTTTTTTTTATTATTGACAGGTTATAACTGCACTTACAGAGAAGAGTATGATGATTTTGGACCTTTACATGTTACATATTCATCAATTCAGAAAGATTCAGTCATCCCTCATCTCAAGCACTTGGTTTCGTTGGGATGAGAATGTTCCAAATCCTCTCTGCTAGCATTTCTGAACTATACAATACAACACTATTAATTATAGTCACTCTTTATGTAGGAACACCCACAGATGTCCCCCCTACCGTGCTGTGCTTTTGGATCTGTGGCCTCCTCCTCCTCTGTCCTCCTGAGCCTCTGGTTTCAGGATTCCACTGTCTGTTCTGCTAGGCCAGATCCCTCAGATTTCACACAAGGGTAATTGTACAAATACCACTGATATTTATAAAGAAAGCAAGCCTAGCCAACTTCTTCTTTTGGTTGGAGAAGATGTATAGAAGGACACAATTATCAAGTTTCAGAAGGAGATTTGACACCTTTGTAAATATAGAAAATACCTGAGTTTCCAAAAACTAGAAATCATGGATACACTAGAAACTGCAACATAAACTTATTTTTGAAAAAACTGTAACACAATCTTCATGAGGGAAGGTCTATTCTGTGGTCCTAGCAAAAGCTTCTGTCTGGCTCTCAGTACTTTAAGTCACCAGGGAGAGTATCTCAGGGTTAAGCATGCGCATTTAGTGGCAGGCAGCTCCAGGCAAGTCTCCAGAGAAGTCTCCACACTCTGTCCAAAACTGGTAGAACAGGTAGACCAGAGGATTGATGACCTGCTACTTTCCCCTTAGAGGTACTTTCACTTTCAACGCTCTGAGCTCCCTAAAGGCTAAGGATTTCCATGCTACTCACTTGCTAATCCTCCAAGGTCAGAGGAGATGACTAATTTTGGAGATCTACTTCCCTATGGATGTAGCTGATGGCTACACAGCATGGCAAGCTGCACTAATCACCTTTCAACTTTGCTTCACAGCTGTCCTCTACATCTCAGTGAACAAACTGAAGACATTAGCGTGAATATTGGCTAAGAGGAAACTTTGCACCACAAGCGATGTTCAAGGTCCTGGGTGGGAAACAAAGGAGCTCTGCAGAATGGACCTACAGTACAGTCTTTTTTTCATCTCCTTTCAGAGAAGAGTCAGCACACACAACTGAACAGAGTTTCATGACTTAAAGGTGTTTTAAATCCTCATTCTTCTACTCAGTGGTGCAGAATATACTCAGGGAGGCTGCGTATAAGAATCAAAATCAGGAATTTAGTAGTAAAGTTCAGTCCTAGAAGCCATAAGTTAACAGCTAGGAATCCCGGCACAGCTGCCAGGCTGAGGTTTGGCAACACTAGGAAACAGGTGTGTGTGACAGGGTGTTTAAGGATGACTTAGAGAAAACCATGATTTGCAAGGGTACATAGGCACACAACTCCCAGGGAATCTGTGGACGTGTACAGGCCTCTGACACAAGCAGACCAGACACAAACTCTAGGGCTAACGTTCATGTGCTAACTGTAATCACGGAAGAGTAGATGAACTCAGTCAATTATCTGGTCATCTATGAAAGCCCAGTAACAACACTGTTCATCACAGTGGGTCTTTCTGAATGCCTCATGTGGCCCTTATAAGAGTAAGGAAATTATCCTGATATAAAATACAACCAAGAAGATAAAAATACAGGAAGAGGGATACATGCCTACAACCGGCTGACTCTGGAGCTTAACGCAACTCTATCTAATAAAATGTGGTCAGGATGTAAAATACATAAATAAGTTAAATAAAAAACAATAAAAACAACAATCAAATTCTAGACTTTCACTATTATTTAAAGTAAATTTATTAGTAATGGAATTTTTCTTTCCCTGTTTTGTAAACTATAAATTCTACTTAAATATAACACTACCCATTGAGAATTATTACCTACTATGTGCATTTTAGCTCAGCTCAATTTTAGGAAACTAAGAGATTATTTTATTTTATATGTACAGGTGTTTTGCCTGCATGTTTATCTGTGCACCACCGTGAATGATTGGCCCACAGAGGTCAGAAGAAGGAACCAGGCCCTTGGAACTGGAGTTTCAGATGATGTGAATCACCATGAGGATGCTGGGACTTGCGTCTAAGTTTTCTGGAGGAAAAGACAGAATTCACATCTGGAGCGCCATCTATCAATTAACGTTTAGTCCTAGCTTATGAATGCTCTTCACACTAACAATTTTGGCATAAATATTCAATAT